TTTAGTATCCACATATTTTAGTAACCATAGTCCTTTCTTAGGATGTAACAGTTTCATTGTTAGGGCCCAGGAACTCCTGATTTAAATCCAGACCCCCTTTGGCACAAACCCAAGACTCATCTGAAGGGCTCAGAGTGTCATTTTGAAGGCCACAAGTCCTACTTGGAAGGTCCAAAGCTTCATCTGTAGGGTCCAAAGACTCATTTGTGGAGAGCAAAGCCTTCCTTAGAGAGCCCAAGGTCATTCTTGGGCCCAAACCCAAAGAATGGCCAACCTCAAAGGATGCTTCAGTACCACAAACTGTCTTTGCCCCCCTGCAAAGCTCTGGAGGCTTAAAAGAAGGCTTTGAACCTGCCAGTTTGCAAACTAAGCCCTAAAGAGGAAGTTTTGGTCCCAGAGGGAGAGTCTGTGGAAGCTAAAAAGGGAGTTTGGACCCAAAAGAATGACTCTTTGGACTCTCTAAAAAAAGGCTTAGGACTCTATAAATGAGCCTTTACCCTACAAATGAAACTTTGGACCTTACAAATCAGGTACTACAGGTAATAAAGGTAATATAAGATGGGTTGGAAGACAAGAAATTAGGATTTTGGCCCTAAAATGGAAGCTTTAGGGACAAAATAATTAATAGGTGAGATACTGCAAATGGCCCTTTAGACCCTGCAAAGGAGGTGAACCTACTGGTTCCTCTCCCATCCCAAGAAACGAAGCTTTAGGCTGCCCAGGGAAGGTAAATGCCAGCAACAGCTTCCTGTCCTGGTTCCTTTTGTGTGGAAACAATCCCCGGGCATGTTCAATTTTGGACCTCGGCTCCTAATTTCTGAGGTGGTTTCCTGAGAGTGGAGCGGGATCTTTTGGGGTGGGTTTCTTGCTTTCTGAGCAGAGCAAAGGGAACTGCAAGCCAGTGCTCCACAGCCAAGGGGACCTCCCACTTCTCTGGGTGGATGAGGAGGATACAGGTGCTGTCCCACCTTGTGCAGCAAGAGCTGTTGTTGGACGTAGCCAGCCACTGTGTCCCAGGCAGCCATTTGCTCTGGAAAGCAAAGGAAAAACCAAGTTTCACTCTGCATCTGCTGGCTCTCAACCCTCCAACACCCCTGGGCATTGGCACTGGGCACTGCTGTCCCCAGCCCCACGTGGAGATACCCTCGGGGTGGCTGCAGTCCCACTGCAATCCCCCAACACTGCAGTGGTGGGTCCTGGGGACACTCCTGGGGGGGCTGCAGGTCTCTGCACCTCCAGGGGTGATGCTGGGCATCACAAAGGTGGGCTCTGCCCCCTCCCACAAGCCCATCTTGGTCTGCCTCACACTGGTGGGTTAATCCTCAGCGGCGACAGCCACGACAGACGTTCTGCAGCCCTTAAAAATCCAAAACTCCCCGTTTCAAATGTCCCAGCTGGGAGGTAGAAATACCACAGCTTGCCCCAAAAAGCTGTTGAAGCTGAGCCACCTGCAGCCAGACTGCTTGGGCTGGCACAGGGGACACCCACACTGTCACAGAGGAGGAAGGATGAGCGCTCTCACCCTGCTCTCAGGACCTACTTTACTCATAAGTGTGTGAGGAAACGGGGCTTGACCCTTCAGAGAAGGCTTTGAGCTGCCCAAACTGCAGGTGGAATCCTAAAGATGGGGCTTTGGTCCCTGACAGGGAGGCTTTGGGAACTAAAAAGGAAGGTTTGGGGCCAAAAATGAGCCTTTGGGTTGTATAAATAAGGCTTTGGACCTCAGGCCTTAAAAATGATGCTGTGGGCCCTCTAAATCGGTCTTTGAACTTTAAAAGTGTAAACCTTGGCACTTATAAATGAGGTTTTGTAGTCTAGAAACAGGATTTTGGACTTTAAATTGACTATTTGTTCTCCCGGATGTGCGCTTTGGTGATTTAAAATGTATTTTGGTCTCCATACTTTTGAGGATTGCATCGTATAACTGGGGTTTGTGCTTGAAAAACTTGGGGATGAGTCTGAAAAATGATCCTTTGGATCTTGAAATTGTGGTTTGGGCTCTACATTTTTTTTTAATAGTTTATTTGTTTGTCGTTGAGATTGTTTGTCACAGATTCTGACCCGAAGAATGAGGGGGTTTTGACTGAAAATTGGTGTTATCAACCCTGTTCTCAGCACAAATCCAAGGCACATCCCCCATACAAGCTACTGTGAAGAAATTTAACTTTATCCCAGCCCAAACTGGGGTACAGTTTGGTTTCCAATAACTAATAGGAATCACTTATGGATTAAATTTCTTGTTTTCACGGGTCAACAGCTGGCAACCCTTGCTCTTTCCTCTACAGCTAATATGCAAAAGCCCCATATCAGGGATTTAAGAATACATGCCACATACCCCCCACCCCACCCCCACCTCTCCCAAATGCAAGAAATAGTCAAACATTGACAATCAGACTCTTCTGAGATGGGAACAAATTATAACTTTATTTATAATAATATATAGTTATTACAATGTGTACTTGTAATTACTATAAACTCAATAAAAGCAAACCCCTACAATAGGGAATGTCTTCATGTAGAGAAAACAGGATCTGCAACTTGGCTCTCAGCAAAATCAACCCCAAACCCAATAGAATGATCTTAAAAATCACTGTTTTTGGAGTTTGAACCCCACGTCCCAGCAGGCCTAAAAATGTAAGTCTGCTTTGGGACAGATACATTAAAATCTAACCCCTCTACAACAAAAATTAACAACAGCTTTAACAAGATAGAGTCTGACTGCCTCTGTAAACTAATATCCATACAAAAAGTTCACACACTGACACCCCTCAGAAGGAATCCAATGCTTCATACTCATGTAGCTTCTCCTCTGCTGGCAGCTGTGACTGCTCCAGCCAGGACTCTGCTACCACTGAGGAGTTCTTCAGGGTGTTAGCATTGGAGTATTCTGGAAACACCACAAATGCAGAAAAAAACATTAGTTAGTTCATAAGAATGGATGTTAATGTGTAATTACGTGGCACTTCAGAGAACTGCTTTACAGATCTAAAAGCCAAATTTTATGTGTGACTTTGAGCTTTTTCCACCTCAACACACTAACAACACCTTTCAAGAAACCTTCAGGATTGATAACCAAACAAAGGCAGCAAAATTATTCTCACTTTTTTAAATAGCTTGAATGCCAAGAGGAAAATGGTCTCAAAAGTCAGTAAAGGAGTCTCCTAATGCAGGAGGTTCTCTCCTGATCTGTCTTAAGTTGCTTTTGCTTCTATTAGGCTACAAAACCAGTAGATCTTTGGAGAAAAACAAACCTCTGCAAAGTCTCACTTGCATAATCCAGATTAAAGTCTGACTTGCTCATCCTGCAACAAAAAGGCACTTGGCTACAACATGAAAACGTTGTGCCAGTGCTCTGGGCCCACTGCATTGTAACCTCATGTCACAGAACCATGGAACCATAGAATGATGGAATCATCATGGAATCACTGAACCACAAAGTCACAGAAAAAAAATCTCCTGAGTTGGAAGGGACCCATCTGGGTCATCAAGACCAACTCCTGGCCCTGCACAGGACACACCAACAATCCCACCCTGTCCCCCAGAGCGTTGTCCAAACACTCCTGGAGCTCTGGCAGCCTTGGGGCCGTGACCAGTGCCCTGGGGAGCCTGGTCAGTGCCCCACCACCCTCTGGGGGAAGAGCTTTTCCTGATATCCAACCTAAACCTCCTCTGACACAGCTTCATGCCATTCCCTCAGGTCCTATCTCTGCTCACCAAAGAGAACATCAACTTCGTGGATTCCCAAATCCTGCACCAAGTCCTGTGCTCCATCCCTAGAGTAAATTCTGGGCTGTTTCCTGACAGCACCCAGACTTACCCAGGGGATTTCCATTAGACACAGAGCTTAAAATATCTTTTAAAAGTGTAGTGCAAACACAAGAGAGCTCGATGATGGGTGGGAGCTGGCATGGACAGTGTCCTTCTGCAGAGGCCATGGCAGTGGGCTCCATGTAGGTGCTAGGGTTGAGCTGGACAAGCACACATCATCCTCTCTGCATGCTGATGCACTCTGATCCTCCTTCTGTGCTCCCTCAACACACATCTGATCCCAGGCTGGTGGGTTGGTTTGTTTTCATCGTGAGTGACTCTGCACACCTTCAGTAGCTGAACTGTGTGGTGCCACAGAGATGCAGCTTTCGATGGCCTCAGGAATCCCTGGCAAATAAGGAAACACTGGAAGTTGTTTCTCCCTGCTGGTGGGAACATGCACTGGGGTTCTGCTGTCACAGGAGCTGGGGTTGTACTCCTGGTGGGGTGCAGCTCCCTTGGCTGAGTCTTATGGTTCCTCTCTTGGCCCCTCGATGGGGGCTCTGCCTTTCTCCCACCCAGGCTGTGCTGCCAGCTCTTGGGAAATGGGGATACAGAAGGTGCGTGGTTTTACCACAGCCCACAAGTTCCCCTCAACCCACCAGGGCAGTTTTCTTGCAGTTAAAGGTTTTAAAACAACCCAGCAAAGAAATTTTCCAAGAGTACCTCCCCAGGGAAAGCTCAGGATTGAGCTCTCATTTCTGTGTGGGTTGTGTCTATCCTCAGCCAGGCACACAGTAGCTTTCAGACAAGGAATGAGACTGTTCCAGGCAGAAGGGAATAACAGGATTCAAACTCCTGGTTTTTTAAAGGCAATTATGTGAAAATGTGAAGTTGGATTTCCGGGCTCTCCTCTAGTCTGAATCTTGCAACATTTTTTGTTGAGGCATAAAAATGAAGTGGGGGAAGCAGATCTTCCTCACCCTCAGCTCATTTTATGACCACCTCAACCCCCTCTCAGAAGCCAAGGCCAATGCTGGCACCATTGGGCACGTTTAGGTCCTGCCCATTTCCACTCCAGAAGCCAATGGAATTATTTTCCCCTGCTTCTGCAGGTCCTAGGGGGAAAAACAACTTGAGTAGCAAGATGAGCAGGATCCAGTGCAGGGCCACAACCATTTGCTGCTGGGGCAATGCCTCTGTGTGCACACAAAGGCTGCAGTTGACTTAATTGTTGAAATAAAGTTGAGACTTTTCCAAGGAGATGGTGGTGTAGCAGTGCGGTCAAAGCAAGGGCAGGAGATGGGTTTGGCTGCTCAGGAAGCCACAGCTCCCTTCCCACAGCTGGGGATGCTGATAGTGGGCTGGGCAGCCCCCTGCTATAGCTGCCCCGGAGCAGTGCCTGGGCTGTGGGCAGGAGGAGGCAGAGCAGCAGGAGAGCAAACGCTGGAAGATCCGCAGGTGAGTCACAGTGTCCACAGGGGTGCCACGTCAAGGAAGCCACATCTGTGCATGGGAATCTCTTTTCGGATGATTTGTGCTCCTACCTCGTGAATCCAAATCCAGCAGAGGGCTCAGCTGAGGTCAGGTAAGAGCATATTCAGGGAGTCTCTTTGACCACACGGTTTGTCCGGGTTGGGCTGGGACAAGAACACTGCAGAGCCGTGGCTTTTGAAAGGGTGAGGACAGAAATGCTACCCGAGGGGAGGAGGCACTGGCAATGAGTCCCATGAGTCAGGTTCTGATCCCCCTACAGAGGAGAGCAAGGTGAGCAAAAGGGCAGAAATGTCATCTCCTACTGTCCTCCAAGAACAAGGTGATGGGGTGGGTGCTGTCAGTAGGTGTGAGATTCATCCCTCCCTTCCACCCTCCTAGGGAGGAGCTGTGGAGCTCAGAGGGTCCCAGGGGGTCTGTCAGGGGATGCCAACTGCTGCAAATGGTGCTTGCACAGGAAGAAAGGCAGTGTGTAGGTGCATGCCCACCCATACTCATGCCCCTCGGCTCTCCCACTCCAGGCCATGCAAGTCCCTGCCCTGCTCCTGCTCACCCTTGTGGCCCTGATGCCCCCAGCCCAGGCCTGCCCCTCGGAGATGAACAAGGTCAAGGACCTCCTGGAGGTGAACTGCACAGGGAAGGCTCTCAGCACAGTGCCCCCAGACCTGCCTGCAGACACGGGCATCCTGCTGCTCAGTGACAATCGCCTGCTGTCCCTCTCCACCGCCGCCTTCCTGCCCCTCACCCAGCTGCAGGACCTCGACCTGTCCTTCAACGGGCTGGTGACTCTGCACACCGGGGACCCGCTGCCATCCCTGAAGGAGCTGATCCTGTCCCACAACAACCTGGGAACCCTGCCCGACCTGCAGGGCCTGCCTGCGCTGACCCGCCTGGCCGTGGCCAACAACAGCCTGGTGACACTGGCCCCAGGGGCTTTCCGCACCGTGCCACAGCTGCAGGACCTGGACCTGAGAGGGAACCGGCTGAGGACACTGCCCCAGGAGGCCTTTGCAGGGCTGAGGGCACTCAAGGACTTGGACCTCTCAGACAACCTCCTGGAGAAGCTCCCCAAGGAGCTGCTGCAGGATCTGCAAAGGCTGGAGACCCTCTGGCTCTCGGGGAACCTCCTGCGCACCCTGCCCACCAACTTCTTCCCTGAGGGGCACCTCTTCATGTACGTGTTCCTCACCAAGAACCCCTGGCACTGCGACTGTGACCTGCGCTACCTGCGGGCCTGGATCCGGCAGAACGACGGCAGCGTTTACCATCCGGAGCGGGGCCTGCAGGAGACCAAGGTGGAGGTGGCCCCCAGGAAGGTGCTGTGCCACAGCCCTGCTGAGCACCAGCATAAACCTGTCATGGACTTCCAGCCCGACTGCGGCGACATGGGGGATGGAGATGTGGGCGGAGAGGATGACTATAATTATGGGGAAGAAACAGCAGAGAAAACTGCCTTGACCAGCTTACCCCCACCCATCCCCGAAGAGCACACTACCATGCCCCATGCTGTTACCCAGCCTCCCCTCCCTACCACCAGACCTTCCTTGAGCACCCCTTGTACCTCCACTCTTGCCCCAAGCACTTTGCTTGTGGTGCCCAAAAGCACCAGAGCTCCCAGCACCACCACTCCTGGACCAACCAGTCCTACCATCATACCCACACAGAGCCCCAGCACTGCCACTCTCACTGCTGCTCTTACCAGCCCCCTGCACAGACCCACCACCCCTGTCTCTGCCACCTCACTGCCTACCCCTATGAGCAGCAACCCTCCCAGCAACAGTGGCCTGCCCCAAACCACCCTCGCTGACAGTACTACCTCTGCCACTCTCATGGCATCCACTGGCACGTTTCTCACCAACTCCACAGCAGTGCCTTTGACTGCCACGCTAGAGCCCTCTTCCACTGTTAGATCTTCATCTCCTGCTTCCATGTCAGCCACCACCATGCTTTCCAGTCGTGCCCCAACAGCACCAGCTCCCCTGGACACCACACGTGTCACCCAACCCGCCCATTCCCCCCCAGCTGCACCTCCTCCCCTCTGCCCGTGCTCCATCCCAGGACAGGCAGCACCGGTGCTGCCTCTGCAGGCAGGTGGGGAGGGTCCACAGTGGGGGCAGTGGCTGCTGAGGCACTGCTGCCTCCTGCACTGGGTGCTCTACCTGGTTTCCTTGGCTCTGCTGGTCCTGACCATGCTGGCTCTAGCAGGCTGGCTGGCTTGGATGTGCCTGGTGGGACAACCCTTCTGGCACCAGTCCCTGCAGACCCAAGAGGTGCAGTATCCCCTGCTGGGGTGGAAGGACTCAGCAGAAAGCCCCGTGATGCATCTCAGCAGCTTCAAAAGCCCCCTCCAGCGCCCCACGTTCTGCACCATCAAGGAAGTAGAGCTGTGCCCTGAGGTCACCTACTGCACAATTAAAGATCTGGGCATACAGCGCAGTCCTCCTGCAGGTTCCTCCTTCTGCACCACAAAGGAGCTGTGGGTCCACCACAGTCCTCCTTCAGCCAAGCCTTTCTCCAGGAACCTGGTGGTCAGAGACCTCAGCTTCCTGAGGACCCTGTCTGCTTACAGCCTGGACAGGGGTGTCAGTGCCATGGGTCATGTCAGAGTGAAATATGCTGGCAACACCATGTAAGTGCTTCTGTATGCTCAGAGAAAGAGATGCAGGGTTGTGGCTCTGCTTCATGTGTGCTTGTTTTACGTGGGAAAGATCTGCTTGCCCAGAGGGAAGCTATCCAGCTCCTTCCTCTAGTATTCTCCAGCAGCCTGAGGTTTCTAGAGCTAAAATAATTACTTGGGTATTTGGCAGAGGAAGATAATGTCCTAAATTGGTCAGTGATAGTCTGGGGCTGCCAATGCCTGGTTTCAGGGTGAGGGAGGGCAAGCAGAGCTTCTGTTGTGCTCTGTGTCTCAACTGCTTCTGTCCAAATGATGCATGCAAAGATGTGCTATGATTCCCACTCAGTGCCACGTTCTTAATCACATAATAAATATTCTGTGCTTGAATTTCAAAGGAGTGCTGGTTTTATTTCATTGGACCTGCCACAGTCCTGGCAGGGCACAGTGAATGACAAATTTGCCTTCAGTACTTGGAATAGTGAAGACAGAGAGGAAAAGTCCATGGAATCATAGAATCATCGAATATCCTGAGTTGGAAGGGACCGCCAAGGATCAAGTCCAACTCTTGGCCCTGCCTGGGACACCCCAACAATCCCACCCTGTGCCTGAGAGCATTGTCCAAACACTCCTTGAGCTTTGGCAGCCTTGTGGCCATGACCACTGTCCTAGGGAGCCTGTTCCAGTGCCCAAACACCCTCTGAGGGAAGAACCTTCTCCTAATATCCATCCCAGCCTCCTCTGATGCTGCTCCAGCCACTCTCCAGGGTTCTGTCACTGGCCACAGAGAGCAGAGCTCAGTGCCTGCCCCCCCTCCTCTTGTGAGCAAGTTGCAGACCCCAATGAGGTCTCCCCTCAGTGTCTTCCAGTGTCCACCTCTTGCTGAACAAGCCAAGTGCCCTCAACTGCTACTCATGCCCTTCCCCTCTAGACCCTTCCCCATCTCTGTGGCCTCCTTTGAATGCTCTCTCATAGCTTTAGATTCTTGTATTTTGGCATCCAAAACTACACACTTATACCTGGATTCCTGATTTTTGCCCCAAACGTGTGATTCTTCCCTGTAGTGCTGAATCACATGGGAAAAGCCTCCTACTGGCAGGTAATTAGTTAAGGAAGGTGTTTGTGCCTCTGCATGACCCACTATGGGAATAGGACCCAAATGGGAGAGTAGGATGGGAGGCTTTGGAGGGCAACAGATGTGACTTGTAAGGGATCACATTAGGACAAGGCATTCAGAAACTGGCATAACTTTGTGACCAACTGTGCAGATGTCACATAAACATTTTGGGAGGTGTGAAAAAGAG